CAGATCTAGTCTGGTTGGTTATTTCCTGTATCTCAGTATTTAATCTCCCTGTAGAGAAATCTGTATTTAGTGTCAGAAGTGGAGATGAAGTTATTTACTGACTGTAAAGACAGTAATAATAATAAAATAACAGACCTAGTCTGAGAGAATTTATACAAAGTTTATTATTAACCTAGATATGTAACTGCATATTTTTTATTAGTTTCTGACATATGTGTCCTAACATGTGCTTGTGTTACTTTACCTCTCTCCATTTCAAAACCTATGAACTGGAATGAAACTAACTTTGTGTTTGAATGAATCTTTAGTGCAGAAGTGTAGTTCAGTAACACAGAAAATCTTTTTTTTTTTTTTCTTTGACATATGCAAAGCCTGCTGTTAATCTGCTTGTCCTTGTGATACAAGGAACTCCATGAAGGTTTCTTTGCCTGCTGTGAAAAAAATGTTCATACAGATGAATAGAAACACTTCACAGAAAACTGTAGTAGATTTTGGCTACTACAGTTTTGTTTCACCTTCTGAGTTACCTCTGATGTAGATGATATTCTTACTCTTGCTTTCAGTGTTGCTCATGAGACTGTTCAGAGAGAATTACTTTATTATTATTGTAATTGCTTCGCATTTGCTCATGATTATATCCAAATTCCTCAAAATCCACCAGTAGTGTTCAATGAACCTTTACCAGCAAGAACTTGGAATGACAACTTCCCTTTTGTTCACAGTGTGTTGTCCTGGGCACACCTGAATTTCTTTCTTCTGCTTTGGCTAACATCTTGATGTGTACTTTAATGTAAGAGCAATTGTCTACTAGGACAACATCAGCCTTCAGTGTAATGAAAGTTTATTTTTGTATTGGAGAGCAACACCATTTTCTTTTCTCATCCATAAATTCTCAGATTAATTCAGTCTGCATCATGCAGCTCCAGATTACTCTTTAGTTCAGCCCCGAGGCCTTTGCCAGATCATTGAAAAGATAGAAGCCATCTGTAAAATCTGTATCTCTGTGCAAACTTCCTTAAGACTGGAGCCATTCAGATCTGAGGCTTTGATTTGCATGACACACTTCTGAGTATTGACATTTGGCTGAGTCAAAAAACACAAGTTAAGCCAGCCCAGATCTTTCCTCTCCACCTGTTTGTACAGAGCTGCCAAGCAGAAAAATTAAATGCTTATATTATTAAATAAGAAATCCTGTTAAAACTCCTGGGCTGTTGAATTCTGCAGTTAGTTTTCATTTAATTGGTTCTATAAAAATGGTTACTAGAATCTCTTATCAAAGCTGGGTCTCTGTTCAAGGGTATTGAGAAAACACCACCAAATCTGGCTTCTCTTTTGGGATACAGACTCACAGAAGAGCAGAGGCTGGAACACACAGCTGGAGCTCATCTAGTCCTGTCACTGCAGCTCTGTGGTGGGGTCATGTCTAATTTATAATAATGTACAGCCCTAACAGAGGTATCACTTGGACCAGGGCTTGGAGACAGGGCTTGGGTACCATCACTGCATAGCCCTTGAAGACAGTTCAGAGCCCACTAAGTTCTGCTGTGTCTGAAACTCTGGGGCAGGCTGTGCCTCTGCTGCTTTTCCAGGCCATTACATCTATTTTACAGCACCAAAAAGAGCAGCACACAGGAGCATAATGAGATAGCAGTTGTGAATATAAGGAAGGAGAAGGAGGTTAGGAGGGTAGGAGGGTAGTGGCTCTGGCTTTGAATAGAGGAAACCAATTACAGCCAGCAGATGGGGAAACATCTCTGTCGATCTCTGGCAGCTTGGGGTGACTCTGACCTCCCCCTCCCCCTGCCCTATCACATCAGGGAAAACAAATCTAACAGTTGATGGTTAAGTAGGCAAGAGAAGCGATCAAACACCTCCCATTTGTACCAAACAGTAGGCACAGCTGTATGTGTACCGCTAGACTGCTTTCTCTGCAGAGAAAATCAAATGGCACTTCTTCAGCTCCGACTGGGCTGATATTTCGCATCTCACTTTCAACTCTTTTTGATCTTCAATCTGTTGACTGTATTTCTCTCCAAAATAATGAGGGAACCTGCTGAGGAGCCACAAACACGCGAGAGATGGAGGAGAGAACAGCACAGCCCCAGGCTCACTGCAATGGCAATTTAATGGGACCTCGAGGGACATGTACTTTAAGTGGTTGGGGGACCCCTTAGAATCTAAAGTCTTATTTCCCTTGGAGAAACTGCACTATATATCATTAAGAGAATTACAGGGACTTACTGATATGCTTCCTCAGTCATTATTTCAGATGTTCATGCACCAAGCATCAAATCGTGCAGCAAATCATGGGCTTTGAGACAGAGAAGTAGAATTTGGCACAGTTTGTCATTTGAACAACTCTTTTCTGAAATGCAGAAAGCATATCCTTGCTACTGCTAAGAGGGGGTCCTTTTCCTTCAGTTAGCATGAGTATTTTTTTTTTCAAATACTGCTTCTGTTAAATCATCCCCATTCAAACACCTTTTTCCCTCCTTAGAGGTTAAGCTACATAGACCCTATAACACATTACAGTTTGTCTCAGAAATGTTAAATTCAGTGTCTCAGTTCTCAAGATTGGGTGGCACAAGGCCAGTGTGAATTCATTCCTGCAGTGGATTCCTCTTTGGCTTAAAAAGTAACAAATCCTGCTGAAAAAAAAATATCACAAGAAGTGGTGAAACATTTGGAAGCAGGAGAGCCTGTGAAGAGGCAGCACTGCCCTCTGTATGACATTCATATACCACAGTGGAAATATGGTAGGTATATGCTGAAACTAATTTTCTTTGAGGGATTAAAGAGAAAAAGAAATGGGTGGAGAAGTGGGAAGGAATTAGATTATGTTTTTGTGATAAGAAGAGAATCTTTGAAATAATAGTTCTCTCAGAGACTGAAAGGGAGAATACACAGGGACAAGGATGGGGAGAAAGCTCTTGCAAGGAAACACATCTCAGGAATCACTGGGAGCATTTTGCATGACAGCCTAAAGGGGATGAAAACATTTCCTAGACCTGAAATAAAAAACTTAACTCAGAAAAGAAACCAGCTTTTTCTGGTATTCCCCCATCCTACTCCTCACTGGCACTGGTATCCTGAAAGCTGTCTAGTCCTTTTCTGCCCTTTTCTGTCAGACATGCAAATCCTGGGGCCAAGCAGAATTTGGGTTTTACTTTTCCACTCCAAGAGCTTGACAGTTATTTTGTTCTTCTCTTCCCATCCACTTTCTAGATATAATTTCAGAGCTATTTATCTATTCAATATTAGCTCTCTGTCTTCTGTCAATAAATCAACACTGATCTCCATCTTCTTATTCTTTCTTGCTTACTGAGCAGCATATGCAGAGAAGTTTTACCAAAGACTGCTCCTGAATGGCTAATGAAGCTGGGGGGCAGTGGTGGGAAGGGTTGGAAAAAAACCTGGGGGACATTTCCTTCTTTATTCCTTTTACATTTATTTTCCCAGGCCAGCTTAGCTACAGGCTGCTTCCAGCAGTCCTTTTTCTTCTGGCTGCACAGCTTTGATGCTGTCTACAAGGAGCGCCTGGAGAAAAAGTTGCTTATGTCAGGTTAGAAGAGAAGGGAAATAAGAGGGAGGGAAGAGAGCCTAGGCTCATCTGCACTCTGCAGCTGCCTCAGTCTCTGCTCTCAACTCACTGGTTCCTGATTTTCTGCCCCTTAAAAGACTTTTTTTCATTTTGGCTGTCACCCGTGCAGGAGCTGTCTTTATATTCCTAGCTGCTATCCATGTCCTCAGCATCCCCCATGACCCTGTTGCCTGCACATGGTTGCAAACCAGAAAACTCCTCCCAGTGGCTCCTACCTTCCTACTTTCACCCTAAATCTCAAACACCATCAGTGTACCCCAGTCCTCACCCCAGAGACTACTGACAGCCCCAGCTGATGCCCCATCCTTGGCCTGGTGACAGGTCAGTGCTGAATATGGGTGAAAAGTCCAAGTTGCATTACACAGTCTGATACCGGATGCTGAAATACATGAGAAAGGCTAAGTCTCAGCTTAATAAATTCCATTTTAAGGAGACATGTGCTTGTGAAACATGAACTCTGAGTGGGTCCCACCAGAAAAACATCTTTCACTGGGCTGTGTCTCAGAATGCCTGGCCAGGCAGCTGCAAAATCTCACTTTGACATAAAAAGAGGATTTCCTGCTGAGGATCAGTAATAAATGCTGATCTATTAAGTTATTTTGGCCCAGGCTGAAATGTGGAGGAGCAGTGCATGGAGAAATAGGTTTTTTTTCTTCTGGCAGAGGAGGAAGGAAATTCTGCGGGCAAAAAAGGGACTTTAGGCTGAGTCTCAGGGTCTTGGGGCATGCCCACCAGAGTCTTGGAAGGTTGTTTGCTAATTAGCATAACAAGACTCAAGGCAATTTACAGAAACTGTGTTTATGTCACAATCTGAGGTGTAGTAAAGCACAGTGGGCATAGGTCAGCAGGACACAGCACTCTGGGTATGGGTAACAGCCTGCATTTTAGTACTGTGTCACAAAACTTATTCAACCAGAAATGAAAAATAAAAGCCACAGTTACAGGAAGGATGCAGTGACCCTGAAGAGGACTCAGGGCACTGATGAACTGGACATGTGGGCTCATAATTCTGGTATGGTCACCATAGTCCTGGGAGGAGTAAAAGGGGAATATTAAGCAGCATAACTGACATTATGCTTCCACTGTATTCCTCATCTGCACAGGCACAGCTAGAATGCTTAGTACAAATTTGGTGTTACAGATCAAACACTACACAGATAAATTGGAGAGACCAGGGCAATGAGCAATGTGCAGAAGCAGCTTCTTGAGACAAAGAGTGAAAGAACTCAATGTATTTCACTTACAGAGATAAACAGTGACTTGGTTACAGTCTGTAAGTACAAGAATAAGGAACAGAAATGTGGTAATAAGGTCTCTGAAGTCTAGCAGACCAATGAATAACAAGGTCCTGAGTGGGTAATGAATCCAGATAAGTTCATAAACCTTCAGAAACAAAGTTGAAATTTTAGTACAAAAGATAATTAACAGTCAAACAAAGTTTTGTAGTTTGCAATGGATCCTTTATCATTGGAAAAAGTTTAGTCATTGTCAGACACTTTTCTAATAATGGCTTCAGCGCAAGCAGGAATTAATTCAGCCCCAGCTTCTGTTACAGATGAGGTCATGAAGGGACGTTGATCAATTTTAACACCAGGATTAATGAACATATATTCATCCCATAGTCTCTGGGGTGTACAATTTTAACATTTAGGCTTAAAAGACCAAAATTCTAACCAATTCTGCCCTAAAACTCCCCACCAACTCAGGGAGATGTTCTCTAGAGGAGCTTGAGCCATATTATCAGGTGATTTTAGGAAGGATAAAACATTACTCAGAAAACCAAATTTTCCTCAAAACCTCCGGAGGAGAAAAGATGGTGAGAGCTATTTAAGGCTCTTCTGCTGCCACATGTCACACGTTGTGACGCACTCTGTCAGCGTGGTTACACAACACCACCACCTCCTCAAACACAGCCGCCTTTCCATGGAGGGCCTGTGCCCCCCCTGCCACTCCCTGGCCCCCCACCATGCTAAAAGCAAAGGAATAAAACTCTGCTGATATCTGTCAAACCCATCAATTGTGAAGCAGTGATGCATTCTTCCCTCCCTACAGACTTCTTGTCTCTCTTTGGCACATAAAACCATTGCTGTGATCAAAACACAATTGCTATTTTATTTGTGTTAATTATTTACTGACATTTGATTTGGAGTTCTAGAGAAGTACTAGAGGATGATGGCATTGCAGAGGAGAGAATCTATCCAGCAGTTGTTCCACCTCCTGGCACCAGAGCATGAAGCTATAGAGAGAAGGCAGATAAGCTGCACATCCAGTTTTGCATACAGCCCTTCTGCAGCCTCGCACTTGTGAGCAGCCCAGGTGAATCACTGAGTCTGTTCTTGCAATAGCAGAGCTGGAGAGCTCTGAAATGCTGTTTTGCAGCAGTATTTTGGTCAACAACAAAAAAAACATAAAAAAATTAAATGTTGACTATGATAGATAGCAGAAACTAGATAGAAAAACATGTAAGTAATTTAACAGGAGTATTTTTTCTGGTTTTTGACTGAATGAAAAGCACTAAGCTTAAAATATGTACTGCTATGGTTATGATTTCTTTTTTAAAATGTTTCCAGGCTTTAGAGATATGCATGTGTTTACATAATAAGCTATTGGCATGAATATGAATATATATATATATATTTATATATATACAACAAATAAGGCTGCATAAGGCTACCAAGAATCTCAAGTGGTGGTTGCCCAGTGTTTTCCAGAATAGGACAGTGCTTTGAAGCATTTATGGTTGTGTCACTTTTTTTCCCTTTAAACTATAATCTTACAGTGTGGGTGTCTGATTTTTGAATGAATTTCGAGTGGGAGGGAAAAACAAAGATCAACTATTTCTGACCTTGAGACGAAAGGAAAATATTGTGTTCTACCATTTTAAAAGTACATGTTCAAGCATTTACTTAAGCAACTCAGACAACCCTGTGGTTCTTCGATGAGGGAGCCAGCTCAGGAGGAAAGGAGCTATATCTTGGGTAAACTCTGCCTAAATTGAAATTAAAAGTCTTTCAAAATGTGCATGTTCAACGCACAATGAGGATTCCAGCTAAACACCCCCACCATTCTGTCACACTGTGAATAAACCAGCTTGGGACTCTCAGGCAAAGGGATGTGCCTGCACTTGCTCTGTCTGTCATGCATGGCTCTGGCTGGGCCATGGGAATACAGGACTCATGGGAATACAAGGAACTGAAAGCAGCTGTCTCTGCTTTCATGTCCAGCCACTATAAAGATAAACAACATGATCTGACCCATGTGCATATGAAGGGATCAAATGAACATTAAATCTAAGTTTATAGGCAACTGGATCAAAGGCATCTTGAATTTAGGATGACTTTAACTTTGAGGACTACGTTAAAGTTTCATAAGTGATATTAGTGGTAATGCTGAGTTTGCAAATTTGCCATTCTCTGGAGAAAGAAAAAACACTGAATTTGGAAAGTTTATTTGTAACAGAAGAGTCAGACTCTTTAAAATATCTTATCTTTAATTTTTTATTTAAATTTTTAATATTCTCCCTGCACAAACCAAAGGGAGAGGAATACTCTACAATTATTTTGATAATTCAAACCCATGAATGTCTTCCCAGGCAAGCTGTGTTTTCTTTCTAAAACAGCTTCACATAAAAATAACTCTTCCTTCTCCTTTACAAAATACAAGTACAGCAAGCTTTTCCAGAAACAAAGATCAAATGTGGTACTCAGATCTGTGCCCTCTGGGATTAGTCATGTTTTCAGAAGCTGCTAAGAGCTTTCCACCCTTCTAAGCTGGCAGGAACCCAAAGCACACAGGAACCTGCAGCAAGTTCCCAGTTTAAAACTGCACAGGGCTGCTTCTGTTAGGATGTCTGAGAGCAATACACTGATATTTTGCTTCAAATACAACTCTCTAATCTCTTTGCAGAATCACACAATGGTTGAGACTGGAATGGACTTCCAGAGATCACTTGGTCCAACCCTCTCCTGCTCAAGCAGTGTCGCCTATAGCCAGCAGCCCAGGATCATGTCCAGAGGCTTTTTGGTGTCTCTGGCAGTGGAGACTTCACAACCTTCACTGCTGATTGTGGCAGTGCTCAGGAACCCTCCCAGTGAAAAAATGTTTCCTATATTGTATGGGAACCTCCTGTATTTCAGTTCATGTCCACTGTCTCTAGTACTGTCACTGCTGAAAAGCACCTGGCTCCTCTTTGCATTCTTCCTTCTGGTATTTATGTCCTCTGGAAAGAACTTTCCAATCGCCACTTGCTGACAATAATCGAGGACGCTCTTAGACTTCTGTCCTGCAAGGGTGCATTGCTTGTTCATGTTCATCTGGTGTTCACCACAATTCCTAGGTCATTTCTTCTAAGTTGCTTTCTAGCAGTTTGTCTTCCAGCATGGAGTGGTTCCTCCCCAGGTGCAGGAATTTGCATTTTTCCCTGTTGAACTCAATGAGGTTTCTGTTGGCTCACTTCTCAATGAGGTTTCTGTTGGCTCACTTCTCCAGCCTGTCAAGGTTCCTCTGGATGGTGGGACAACCTGCAGGCATATCAGCCACTATGCTCAGTTTTGTGTCATAATCAAACTTTCTGAGGGCAAGCTGTCCCATCATCTAGGTCACTGATGAAGATGTTAAACCTGATTGAAGTTAGTATTGACCCCTGGGGTACATCAATAGTTACTGGCCCGCAGTTATAAATTTGCACTTCCCTCTATGCCTGGTCATTCAGTCAGTTTTCAGCTCACTGCTGTTCATCCAGCCCACACACCAGCAGCTTGTCTGTGAGTAGGATCTTATAGGAAACAGGGTCAAATGCCTTATGTGCTTCCAGGCATACAATATCCACTGCTTTTCCTTCATCCGCCAGGCCAGCCACTTCTTCATAGAAGTTTATCAGTTTGGTCAAGTGCTTTCCCTTGGTGAAGCCATGCTGACTACTGCTGCTGATTTTTCTGCCCTTAATATGCCCAGAAAAGCTTTCCAAAATTAGCTGCCCTTTTTGAAGATAGGGATGATATTTTCTTTCCTCCAGTCTTCAGAAATTTCTCCTGGCAGCCATAATTGATTATAGATTATTGCCTTGCAATAATCTTGACAGAGTTTACTCTGGCAGCCCCCTGACTGTTCATGAATTCATCCTATCAGGGCCCATGGATTTATGCATATACAACTTGCTTAAATATTACCTGAACCGATCCTTTTCCACCAAGGGTAGTTAGTGGTGGCCTTACTCCCTGGTTTGTGGGACCTGAGATCCCTGAAGACCAGTCTTGCTAGTAATGACTAAAGCATTCAGTACTTCAGCCTTGTCCTACACCCTGCATAATCAGGTCACCCATCTCATTGAGTAATGGGCCCACATTACCCTGCATAATCAGGTCACCCATCTCATTGAGTAATGGGCCCACATTTTCTCTATTCTTCCTTTTGTCACCTGCTTATGGAAACCCTTTTTTGTTGCCTTTCACATCCCTGGCCAGCTTTAATTCCATTTAACTTGCCTAACTGCATCATAAATAACCTTACAGAATGGTGGAAACAGTGGCTTTTTGGCATTCTGGTATGATTCTCAGTAGCACCATGGCCTGGAAACAAGCTTTGTGAAAGCAGTTCTAAATATGAAGGTCCCGTTCTCACACAAGAAATGTGAGCTTTGGATAGAAAAGGTCATGTCCATGTATATTGCACAGCATTATTTTAAAACTTTCCATATGGAAATGAATTTTTTAAAATTTCAAAGAACTTCAAACAATAGGTACCTCTCTCACTTTTAGCAACATATCTTATTTAATTTTGGAAGAAATAGTCTTTCCAATAATATTTACATAGTGAAGTGGAGGTGATGAATGGCCATACAAGATAACTCAGCAAGCTGGGCTTTTGCCCTTGTAGGTTTTTTGTTTGTTTGCTTATTTTTTCTTTTTGCAAGAGAAACAAAAGCAAAAATCATGAAAAACCCCCAAAATCCTGCTAAAAGGATGTGCTGTAAGTTTTGTGTCATTCACACCATTTTGGCCATGGTTTGCACACAGAGGTTAAGGAGGTCCAGGCGAATTGTATTTGCTGACTCACAAATGAATGGCGTTGAGGTTTGTTTTGGCATTGATGATATTTGCAAAAACCAGTCCAACAGTTTCGTATTTATTGGTGGCTAAAAAAACACCCTTTACATATTATCAGCAGATAAATGGAAAACTGAGCCAACTACTTAAGGTAAGTTAGATTTTGGAGAGCCAAGTCATTTGCCATGTAAAAATTCTACAGCTTTGTCTACCGGAGGCTGTACATCAGCCTGCAGACTGAAGTATTCATAGATACATGTGTTGGACATAGGAGATGCATTCTGACATTGAAAATTATTCAGTTCAGTAAACAGGCTCAGCTCAGCTGAAAAAGAGTCAAATCAAGCAAGATTTCCAAAATATTCTCGGTGTGCTTCTGACCAGCTCTAATACTGCTTGCCTTCCCAGAGAAATTTCTTTCTTTGCTCTTCTCTAAAACAGTGATTTTATTGATTTAGGGATTTGTTCAGCCAGCCTCGTACATGTTATTAGAGTGAGTAAGCGGGCTGGGATCTCTGGGACTCTGGAACCAATAAAAAGAAAGGCTTAGTTGACAAAGGGAAAGAAATTAAGTGTGAGATTCTTGGAGAGCATGTATCAGTGACACACCCCTAGTAACATTAAGCTTTTCCCTGATCATTTTCTTATGTTTTCAGTCCTCAAATCTGTTGAGAAATTTGAATAGGAAGGGAAAGAGGTGGGGATGTGTCTATCTGTGATTGTATTAGTCTTAAAGTGTACACCTCCCTGATTGGATCCTCTTTTCAAGATTTTTGCTTGATGGAAATCTATGAAAGTTCACTTCTGCAGTAAAGCCAGCTGCACTCCGGATAGAAAAATTACTGTGAGGGTAAATTAGAACCCAAGGAGAAGATACTGTAGATTGCCCTTAAGAATGTAACAGCTGGGAATGCTGAGGTCCTGATTGCTGTACTCTGGCATAAGCTAAAATAAATGAAGTGTCCAACCAGTTAAGAAGCAATTAAGAAGCAATGTTTGAATTGCCTGTGGTTAGAAGCACAAGCCAGCAAGGGGAAGTCCTCTACTTTTAAGCAGTTCCTAAATGTTTGGCGCAGTCCTTCTGCCAATTAAAGCAGAAAGAAGCATGCACTTCTATCCTGTAAGAGTAAGGTGTGAGCTGTCCATCTAGTTTAGCACGACTGGGATCTAGGAGGGTCATGGCCACCTTTTCATGTCATGGCCAGAAATGAAGGGAAAGGACTCATAATTGTGTCACTGAGGGTCAGGGAAGACTGGCATCTTGCACTGTATCTTCACAATCATGAAGTAAAAGAAGGGAGAGAGCAAAAGCTGGTGTCAGTGCGAGGGCAAGCAGAAGGGTCGAGAGGACTGCTAAATGCATCAACACATCCTGGCTGAACATCTCATCAAGGGAAAAGGCAGCCTTCAAAACCCTTCCTTAGCATAGCAAAGGCAGAAAAATACTGCAAATAGCCAAAGTGTAACTACTCTGAGCATCACAGTCTGTCCCCCTTTTTGGGGATATGACATATCCACAGTTTCAGGCACTGCAAACTACAAGAATTCTTGGTGGATTTCTGCAGATATTACACAAATGTAAAAAACCCCTTATTAATCAACCTGGCAGTACAGGACACACACACCAAAACAAACAAACAAAAAATACACTTAAAAAAGCAAACTTGATCTAGAAAAACTCATCAGATTTAAAAATAAAAGTGGCTAACAGACTCACTCAGTGGAAAGGTCTCATTATGTTCACATGAGATTTGCACTACATAAAACTTCCTAAGATTATGTAATTTGACAAAAAGACAAGAGTTCAATTCATTTACTGCTGAGTATTGACCATTTTTTCTGGTTTTTTTAATAGTTTCAATTTTCCTTGAGTGCAGCCATTTTTGCTAGCTGGTGATCCCAGGCAGCTGTGTAAGCAAGAGGGCAGAAAGCCCTGTTCCAGAAGGCATCCCACATGGACACAACTCCTGCTGCAGATTGCCCCATGAAGGAGCTTCTCTCTTCATTAACTCCAAGGAAAGCTGAGAAAGACAGGCTGGCTTTTCAGGTGAGTGGTTTCTAATACTGTGGGTAGGGACAAGAATGCAAATGCCAAGAGAATATGGGAGAATAGTTTTCCTCAGAAGGAAGACTAAATGGGAGAGTTTCTTTTGATTTTTTTCCCACTCTCCCACAGGCTGACAAGCAAAATAGGAAATCTTGCAAATGGCAGTGATGCAACAAAGTGTAATCTTGAATTTAACTAAAGGACTGTCTACTTTAAAGGAGTGCTTGCATAATTAAGAACATATTTCAGGGTTTGCTGAGTCATTACCTGTGTTAATCATGAACTATGAAACCATCAGAGGGTTATACCTGGAAGTGAGATCTTGATAGAGTTTAGCTCTTCCTGGTCTTATTTCTTCTACAGCACTGCTTTAATACATATAGGGTGTATGACATCTGCATAAGTACCTACAGAGGGGTATGATTATCAAGCTCTCCAGATTCAACAGTTTTCCCACTCAGTATGCAAGTATCTCCTGCTTTTCGTCAAACATATCTGAAGTCACAACTCTTAAGATTTCACTCTTAAGTAATAAGGACAAGGGCTTTATCAGGGTACTCAGAAATTATATTTGTTCTGTGGTGTTAATTCTCCAACTTGTTTGGGAGCTGGGGTTTTTCCCAACCCAGAAAAAAAAATTATTTACTTAAAACCTTAAGCACAGCTGGGTAGGGCTCTTCCTTCAAATTACAGTGATTCACCCTTAGAGAATTTATGTAAATCTTTGGAATTAAATTTCAAAAGTCCAACTTTGGAGATTCCATGTTGTTCTCATAGAACACTCAATTTTATTTAAAAAAAAACCCAAACCACCTCACCTAATTACTTCTAAAACAATATAAATCAATCCACAATAAAGGAGACAAGTTTATTCCATCCTAAAGGCCAAAATTTGACTTTTGCAAATGGCTATAATATAAAAGCTTTCAGAATGTACCAATTTATCATAATCAGCCAACTGTTTTCAAAGTCTGAGTGTCCTGAGCCATACATTTAATTTTAATGTATTTTGAGTAAGTACTTAATTACCACATTTCAAGCCCTAGCTTAGAAGGTTGCTGGAAAACCTGCAAAAAAGGAGTTGCCAATTATTGGGCTAGGTTGGTCAACATTAAATAAATGTAATGTATCATGGGACATTAAGTAAAGCATGCATAAAACCAATGGAACAGGTTTTGTTTTATATAGGAACAAGGGAAATCTGTTCTGGAAATCATGCCATTCAGGAAATACAAATATCTTCACCATTCATCTGCAGTCAATGAATCACTTTCAAATGTCAAAAGCCTTCTATATGGTTTAAGTGTTCTCCTCAGCCTCATTTTTCTCATTATTTTTGTTATTCTCTTTACTATACCTAGATTTTTTTATTTCTAGAAGGATCTCCTTGTGGTTCTTCTCACCTTTCATTGATCTATAAATATAAATTTCATATATAAATATATATTCCTAGAGAACCATACTTCTTTTTTCCTTTTCTCAGTGTTAGTACATTGTGTATGTACAAATGGAGGTGAGGTTTTTATTCTGCCAAAGAATAACTTCTATTCTTAGACACAGCTGATTAATCAATTGGTTTGATCTATTGGTTATGATTATTGGTATCATATTTAATCAAATATAAGCTGATTACTTGCAAGTCCCAGTTTTATTCCTTTCGTAATGAGCTTGCCAGTCCAATCTAATACTTAATGGGGAAAAGCAATTTATTTCTGGTTGGCCACCTGGAACATGTGAACAGACCAAGTGTGCTCCTAGACAAAGGAGTTCTCTGTAGTCTGCTTTAAGAGACCAAATCTTTATTTTATCAGCATCTTTATCACTCTCCGTAGAGGAAAATTATCTGAACTGCCTTTCGAGAACCCTTTTTTACAAGTATCAAAGTCATCTCTACCAAAGTCATAACTTCACCTGGGGTTTGCAGGACTGTAAAATCATTAGGGACCCTTCCTCAGTGTAATGCTCCTTCTGTGTTCTGTGGCTTCTGAGTTCATGAAGCAATCAGTCACCTAAAAGATGTTATGGTTGATGAGTTGCATTCATTAAAATCTCTGTCATTAGGCCCCATCATTTTAGAGGAAATTTTTTTCTCTGACTTTGCTCAAAAGTGATTGTTTTATAAAATTTGATAAAATTCCACTTGGTCTTTCTAGAATGAGCTCAGAGTATGAAAAATTATTTCCATTCATTAAATTTTTTATGTGCTTCTTTTTCAGGCAACCAAAAAAACTAACCTCAAAGAAACACAAAATCCATAATCTAAAACAAGCCAGTCCTTACAGATGACTGTTTTAACTTGTTTAAAAAATGCCAAACTTTAAATTGGATAATATCTCTTCTATCAAAAACAAAAAAAAAAAAGGGAAGAAAGAAAATTGTTGAGAGACAGTAAATATGTAACAGCATATTGAAAACAATGCATACCAATAATGAGGATCCATGCCAAAAGATCTAGAACTCTGCTCAATGACACAGCTGTTCATCTGTGTGTAGCGTGTGTTATATACATCCAAATATGAATCCTTGCCACGTTTGACTGGAAAGCACAATCAATTAATCATAAATTATAAACTCATTGCAAAGCCTCTCTTCAGTAGTGTCAGATCCATTTTACAAGAATGAGCCAGCCATAGTAATGTAGTAAGAAAAACTGCTTGGATTTAGGTACTCTCTCATCAGAAAGCTTTTTATATGAAGTTGCTGATGCCTTGGAAAAATCATGGAGAGTGTAAGTAGTGTCAGATTATATATAGCTGCTAAATCATTTTCCAGGCCTTGTGGTTAGGCATCACCAGATCACACTAGCAGGATAATCTGCCAATTATCTGATCCCAAATTTTGATGGGACTCCTAGGTTTACATTAAACCTCATTTTATTTATAGTTTCAAGTGGCTGTATGTGGAGAGTGATGAATGAAAAGGATGGAGAAATGGCTGGCTCGCCATGCCTGATCTCAGTTCTAGGCATTGCATATTCAAAAGAGGGAATGCCACTTGTTCCAGCTGGTATATGAATTCAGAATAATAATGGTTTTTTATCTTTGTTTTCAAGAGAAAGATCAATTTCTGTTGATTTTACTTAAAGCCAGGCAATCCTAGTAAAGCCTAGAGAGGCTTGTGGAACTCTCTGATCTCCATTATGTTTGCTCTGCATTTGGTAACTCACAACCCCTCCCTCCTGACCCTGCCCAGTAACTTGCAGTTCACCTGGGCATGCAGGTCCCTCAGTTACCTCCATGCTTGTAGCCACACAGCAATAATGCACCCTCTATTCACAGTGAGAATCCCACACAGATGTAGACATAAACCATGACTTCTCTCACAAACAATGAGAATCAGGGGCAAACAGAAGGACATTTTTAAAGAGGGACTGAGGCCTAGTAGTGTCTCAATATCTATAAGGGTTTGGAGTTTGGTTTTTTTGTTGTTGTTGCTTTTTTGTTTTAATTGTGTAGTGAAGTCTGTACTTTCCTTTCCTTTTTATGTCACTGCAGTGATCATGAACTGCATCATGTTGTAATAACACAGGAGAAATTCTCTACCCAGAGAATCTCCCATTTCCAGAATGAACCAATTAAAGATAAGCTGAATATATTGCAGTAATCTGTTCCTGTTTGTATAGTATTTTGGCTAATGTCAGAGAGTAATAAAGCCTGGAGTAAAAAGGAGAAAATTAAAAATTCATAAAGCAGCTGTGTATTCCTAAAGTAGAGGATGGGATTTTGGAATTTCAATGAATGCTTACATCTAGTGATTTGGGACCTGATTTCACTTCATAACTGTAAATCAATTATGTTAGTGACTCTCCAGCCATAGTTCTTTAAATTATGGCCACATTCTATATGTGATTTGGAATATTAATCTTCAATATGCAATATGGGGTAGTCAAAAGAACAATACTCACAATCCTCTGATATAAGGGCTTTTTATGATTATACAGAACTTCCATCTGAAACACCAAGCTCAAATAATCATAGCTTTTTGTCGTATCTGTGTGCTGTGAAATTGGTGAATTTGTAGCCTTTTGATTTTCTTGAGAATGCATGGTGAGGAATGGTATGTACGTCTTAAGGCTAAGTTGATTACAATAGACGTGAAAGAGTAATTTTCAAAGCTTGTGTAATTATGAACATTAGGAAACTGGAATAAGCAGCCCAAAATATTGAAATGAGAATGCAATACTTTACAGATTGTCCTGAGATGACCCAAAACGCAAGTGAAGCCATTATGTTTTATCCTCTCACATGTAACATTTAGATAAAAAATTTTGACCTTGATTTTCTTCTCTTTTGTGTTTCCCCTTGCACTTGTAGATGAGAGTTGGAAGGTGTTCTTATGTGAGAGCTGCAGTGCTGAACATTAAGTAGTTGTATCTAAAAATATTGTTGAAAAAGTAAAGGTCTTTCAGACAAATTATTAATAGTCTATTTTGGTTAAAACGAAGAAAGTAATCTCACATCTGTCACATAAAAATTCCTTTACTGAAGTAAGAGGTACCATGATTCAGAGAGGCAAAATGATCCATTATTATTAGACAGTCATTTATATTTAAAAGTAAACAAGATATAAATAGCAGCGACAGTAGGTAATGTGCTTGTGTCTGCAAAGAAGCAATTATGTTGCAACAAGTGAATACATTATTATGGAAATATCATGACAGTAAGAAAAGAGTAGATCTGTAAAAACACAGAAATTTTCCAAAGCTCAATCATAAGATTTCTTTTCCTTCGGTATATTTCCAACAAAACATTATTAATCAATGAAAATCTTCATGAATTTAAACAAAAAGAAAATGGCAAAACATACTCAAATTTAAATGGAAAACTATATAAAAGAGATACTAACGACATCCTGCATTTAGACCCATTCCAGATGCAGGACTATTTTTTTTGGTTTTTTCCTCATGAAATACAGGAAAAGGAGTTACTCTCCATAGTTTCACAGAGGCCAGAAGCTAGAGGTTGGGGGGAAATAATGCAACGTGTAATGAGTGAAACAAACCAAAATTTTAAAAGCTTTTCAGAATGAGGCCTCTGAGCAGCCTGATCAGCTGAGTATGTCCCTGATCATTGGACTAGAACTCCTGCAAAGGTCCTTTCCAACCCAGACTATTCCATGATTGAACACTATGAAAATTCATGGGAATCCTATTTTTTTCTGTTAATCAATCTGTGAGTATTTTTCAAATAGTTGCAAGTTTTAAGGCTTACTTCAGAGTGCTTTTGCTAAGTTTAATGTTCTTTTATTGTGAATAACAACACTTATCTCCTGCCAAACTCTCCATAGCAATCTATTGGCATTTTGTTAGATTCTTCTCCATGCAAAACCTTGTTCATTTATTTTATCTGAGTGCAGCCTAACTTCAGTACACATCATGCTGCAGAAAGTTAACTCCTCCAAAAATTGTTATTTTTCTTAAATATGCTTTTTCTGTGTTCTTCCATCTGCTTCCCATATTTATGTCCCATGTACATCTAATCCATATTGCTTACTGCTAGCAATGTCTAAACCTTGGTTATAGAAACTAGTGACTTCAAGTTACAGAAATTGAAGTCAGCACTGCTCAACACATTGTTTTCACATCATTAACACACCTTTACTTTGGAGATGACTATTAAATTTCATTAATTAAATTAAATTACATTTTTGGAGGTGAATTAAAATTTCAGGTAGCAAAACAATTCTGTTACCCAGTTCATAAGGCTTGATCAAAATTTTCATAGCTTTTTCTCTGTTTTCCTGATCAACTCTACCTTCTTTTGAATAAAATTTATTATGTGGAGCTATATGTGTTATACCAGGTTTTTCCCTGTGTACTTTGTTGCAAGGCAAACATAAAAAACATATTGTAGAAATAAGTATGATACAAACTACATCTGATTTTAAAAGCAACGTCCTTGGTCATAACTTGTAGTTACCTGAGTCTGGAGTAATTTTACTGGGATGATGCAGAATTGCCTGTGCTGGTGTCTCTTACACCTTGGTTGTCAGAGGGAAGTGCTGTGTGCAGCACACCTCGGATCTGCTCCCGTATCACTGTGTTCCTAAACAATATCCAGCATTACTAAGCAATTCAACTCTGTACACCTTGGGCAAACAGAAAGAATTGATTTTGGGTAACAATATAACTTCCTCAACTCCTGTAAAAAAAACCTAAAGCCAAAATTAAATCACTTTCTTTTTCTTTCTTTTCTTTTCTTTTTTTTTTAGTTTTCAGAATTATTGCACTTGGATTTGGTTTATTCCAATGAACATGTTCAGTGAAGGGTGAATTTTTTTGGAGGGAGTTATTTTCCATTTTGAAAAGTTTTTTTTGTCAGCTCTATCTGAAAATGCAGAGGAATGCTCCTCCGGTTCCTGGGTTCTTCCATGAAGCATCACAGCATGCAATGTTAGTGAAGAAAAAATTGCTTTGACCTAGTGCAGGGCTCTAACAGCCTGTAACTCAAGCAAATTGAAACTGTTTTTCACTCAATTTCAGCTTCTAACATCTCTCCATTACAGTTCTGCAGGCGTTCAAAATAACATCAGTGCCTTTTTTTTTTTTTTTTTTTAATGAAAAATGTCTGACCGTTTTCCCATGCTTACACTCTGAACTAAATTTCTGATTAAATATGTTAAAAATTCCTTTTGGGTAGAAACCAAGCAAGCAATACTCCAGCCAAAAGTTGATTTTTTGTTTTTCTGAGTTTGAGAATAATTGAATATAAGGAAAATCATTCTATTCCCTCAATCAAAGATTTAGTTTGCAGTATGACCAAATAACAGACTAATGTAATAAAGTGAGATTAGCCCAGTTATGTGCTCACTAAAAAATCAGGTAGAATTAAATGTAAGGTATTATCAAAGTAAAATGGTAACCCAGTGTTAAAAGTTGCTAAATTTCTTTTCAGGGAGTATTACCCATCTTGCAGTTATCTGCACAAAACATTCCAAAAGTTCCAGGACCTGCCTATTCAACACTTATTTGCAAACACTGTGAAGTTCATAAAAGCACAATTCTCCTTTAGTTCTTGTGAAAAGTTTAACAAGGCAAAATTAATTTGGTAAGTACTGCGAAGTATTTTATTTTCAAACACACATTTGTGTTTGAAATTCGCTTTTGGGGGTTAAAGAGGAGGTGAAAGTTGAGAGGTGATAGCTGAAGAATGTACTGACTATAGTGGTGCTAATTAGGAACTTTCGTGCTGGTCTTTCCTTTGGGAAATTCGTAAATCACCTGAAACAAAGACTACATCAAAGACTAACAATTTTAAAAAGCAATCAAATTAAAAGAATTCTACATGGACTTCCATCTAGACAGCACAAATGTACCTCTCACGATGTAGGTTGTACATATATAAACAGATGCCCTTAGCAGACCCACACTTATACTGAAGTGTTATGAACTTTATGGCAAAGTAAAGCTGGTGTGCAAGATTTTAAGGAAACAGACTCCAGTGTTAAATAGAAAACCACACTAAATATCCCAGACACCCCCCCCACCCCCCAGTCTTAGTAGATTAGAAGGCTTTCCTCCTTTCAGATAATGATAAAGGATTCTGAATATTTCTAGTCCCACTCATACTACACTTCCAGGTAGCAGAGACTGTATCGTGCCCAAATAGTGACTAATGGAGTATTTCTGCTCCAAATTCAGACTAGGTTAGGGTTGGTACATTGTGAACTTTCTGAATTTAGCTTTTTGTGGCGTCAGAACCTGTGACTGGCTTCACCAGCCTTACTTTGAGTACTTCCCCACTGACTGTGCAGATTCATGTGTAGAAGAACTTCATTTGAATCGGTTAAGGCTGAGTAAGTATGACATCCATGCAGAGAAAACTCCTGAAAGCAAGAAAATGTCAGGTTATGGAACTCCTCCTAAAGGCACCTCAGTGCCTACACAACACATTTCCACTGACATGAGTAGACTTCACACCTCCCCACAGAACTTCCTTCTGCCTCCCAAATATAAGGGATCCCATCCAGCTCATTAATTTCACACTATAGAACCCCCACACCGTAAGCCTGGCTCAACACTGAGTATTTCATAAAGTTAGTAAGGTCAAAATTATGTGAATGTGTGAGATTTTGAAATAAAGAGGAGATGGGGGTGTTCAAATTTTATTTATGCTTCAAATTTGTAGTTCAGAGCTGTCCAACTGACAACAATTTTTTTTTATTTTTTTTTTAAATAGAATAACATGCAGTATCTATTTCTAATTCTATATTTTAGACTACCAGCTTGGAGTAAATGTTCTGGATTCATGTAACAGGTGATATAGCAGAACAGCTGGTCCAAAGTTTAAATGAGCATAAGTAGTAACTGAGGAATTATTAGGCTAAGAATATCAATTGAAACATGATGGATAAACACAATGAGTGATTTTTTAAAATGGATAAAGAAAATACTTGGTTTCTGCTGAGTTACTTTTGAAATTATCTTCTGCCTAATGAGAAAAACCATTAAGTGTCATTTGATAAGGCAGCCAATTCCTGTCTTTCATAGACCATTCTGTAGTATTGCTTCTTGTTCTTCTTATTGAGGCTACCTAATATCTGAATATTCTGAATATATGAAGCAATACTTTATAAAAGCACCTGGTCACATATATTCTGCCTAGAGTAGGTAGCTCACATTAATTTTGAATGAAAATGAGAAATAAAGTATGTAGTAATGAAATTTTAATCACAATTGCCTGAATGTTTCTGTTGTTTTGTGGGCAAACTGGTTCCTTAGCATATTAGCATAGCTCTTTAGGATCTTCTGCATACAGAGAGTCACCAGGGATAACTACAGATTTACAAAATCACTCAGATGCTTTTGCAAATCACCCTCACTTCAATAGCTTTGAAATTCTGGTTACTTCTTTTTTTTCTGAATTGTGGTGACATCCTTAGTTGATAAAGGCGGAAGGGTCAAAGCTGAAGTCCTAGTTAGGACAGTTTTAAAAGAATTTTTAATTATATTTTTTTTTTAGTTTTAGTTGCTTGCTAAACACTAACAGTTTGGGGAGTAGTTTCCTTATTATGTATCTAATGTCAACATTAGCTGCTATTTGTTAGAGTTCGGGGCCAATCCCTACCAAGCCAGATGTACCTGGTAAGACAGAAGAGTTGTGAAAGCATCATCCAGAAGGTGTCTATAGCAGTTCCATGTGACTTCAGTAATCTTTGGTATTAGGAAAGTTTTGAATTCCTGATAAAATGTGAGTTTTTATTTTTCCTTCAGTGATTGGAGCAATGAAAATGCTACTGACTTTTCTTACCAGAATTAATGTGATCTTTATAAGACTATGGGAGCAATCACTAAGAAAATTAATGTTGATGTCTGATATTAAATCTTCTTCTGAGGAAGTCCTATGCAACATCCATGCTGCTATTAACATAGTTCTTTAAGGTTTGACAAATATGTTGAGTCAAGCTTGTTTGTTCTCCACAGGTACAAATGGCACAATTAAAAGGAGTGCCTGTTTAAACAAGTATACCACACCCTCCATATCAAGGGTAAAGCCCGGCTCCATTGGGGTTAATCCTTCTAATGTTTCAGTGATAATGCTCTTTGTTACAAGGTGCTTAGACTTTTTGTTATACTCAGAAAAATGTATTGGTGTCACAGTAGCTGAAATATTTACTGGACTATGCCATCATCATATCATATAGGCACCCCCATTAACATCAATTCAGACTTCCCTTTGTGTCATACTTCATTGCCAGTTGTCTCATCTCTGAAATTCCCACCTAGACAAAAACTACTCCTGCAGCTACTGCGACTTCTGTTAAAAGAAGTGTACCAAAAATGGACAGACAATCATTATTACCACAAAATTAGTTTGTAGAAAGCCACAGTCGAATTTTGATATTACTAATACAGTGTTAGAGTGCTTAAATCTTAATATTCTACTGGTGGTGTTTACTGAGGGTTCTTGCACCCGGTCTGTGATCTTTATAGCCTCAAATGCTAAAGGAGGTGAAAATAGTTATTAATTGGAGAATGCCAATTAATGTACAACGATATCAGAGAAGTTGTACCTTTTGGTATTTGTGCATCAGGTGTACTGTGCTTACCCTGTTTGCACACAGATATGAGCATCCACACAAATGCTTTGTTCCCTTATCTGCAATCTAGCAGTGACTTTCTGTCTCCCTTCTGGAAATCTATAGTTTTACCATGATTCTCATAGTGTCTGGTGTTTGTCTGAAATTTAGTCACTTGGTATTTGGTACCAAATATGTGCAACTCTTATTATAACAAACAAAAGTATACATGGTTCTTGCATTTGAAAAAAAAAAAGAACCAACCCCTAACCAACCAACCACTTCTCTAAGAATGTCAAAAGCATACTTCAAGGTGCAAAACATGGACTGTGAATACAATTTATCCTTGTCCATCTACAAAGGTGTAGGGAAAGCTGATGAGTTAGAGCTCTGTTTATCAGAATACTGAAGCACATGATTAGCATTAGGCACAAGTGACACTTATGCTTGAGCGCTTCATGATTTTTGATTTGATCAATCAACATTAGAGCATTCATTTTGTGAATGGATGCTTACTCTAAAATACAAAGAAAATCAGTGAAGCAAATGATTCCTACAGTATCCCACTTTGAAAGAGAACTAGTTCAGGGGGGTTAGTATCTGTGTTTGAAAAAGCTGGAGTAATGAACACACTGAACAGCTGTTTCTGACAACAGGGAAGCCACTTAGGCAATTTATATTTGCAATGTTGTTTGCATCTGGGAATAGTACTCCAGAGCACAGTATGTGAGCTAAGGAAAGCAAACATACACCCAATTTGTAAACTTCTAATATGCTTGTTTTACTATAAAAATAGACTTGTAATTAGTTCCCAGGAGTTCGGGTACAATAAGATGAAGTCTAATTTCATACAAGAAGAACAGAAGATTGTTGCTTCAGCTAAGGCTTAGGCAAGCATGCCAAGACCAATAAAATGAATGGGAGTCTTCCTACATGTTTGAATGGCTTTACATCAGAAGAAATAAGATGAAATTCAGAGTGACTGACAAGCCTGACACAGATATAGAGCTGTATCACCAGACCAGAGGATTTTTTTGTCCTGTCCTCAGTATCTGAGGTCGCTGTGTTCACATAAGCCTACATGTTTTTACCAGCTAAACAAGACAGGATGATGAACTGTTCAGAGAGAGAGAGAAGCAAAGAAAGATGTCCTACAATATAAGAAAGTTCTAGATCAAGAAATGCACTATGGTATAAAATGTCCTTTGATTTCAGTCTTACTGGATCTAGACTAAGGATACAGTTTTGTAAAAATTTATTCATGACATAATGAATTACAGTCATCCCCACATGACTCCTAATATAAACAAAATACAAAAAAAAAGCAGGCTTGCAAAATTAGTTTCAAATCATATCTCTGCACACAGAAAATACATTTAAATATTTAAAACATTTTTAACAACTCAAAACTGGGTGAAAACCAGAAACTTCAGTCTTCATGATCATATTTGGTATAAGAAAATAAAATGCCAATGTGGAAGAGCTTGGAGCTTTTTCTGCCACAGGCATTAAAGACAGTTACCATTTGGGGTTTTTTTTCATGTTTAATTTAGATGATCAGCACAGATGTTTCAGAGCTAAATTGTCTTTTTTTGTTGGCAATATAGGCATGGTCTCATTACATCCTTTTCCCTCTCATCAACAGCTTTAGAGATTCAGATGCAATTTTGAGTAACTTGAAGAAAAGCATGAAGTTTTTTTTTATATTTTGTGATATTTGTAATGAGCTCCTAGAAGATGCTGCATGCCAAAGACCTCTTCAGCAAGTTCCCTTGGGATAATATTCCAATGTGTCCTTGTATGTATAGTTAACATATTCAAAATATATGAGATATGTATTTCAAAATATACCTGACTCCTATTTCTACAATATCTGATACAAAATCTTTGATGACCTTCTCTACTCCCAAAAAATATCATATAGCTTTTTGCTGTAAATGAGTTACTTTCAGCTTCTCTGTGCAAAGTAATTAAATTATTATCAGCTCTGCAATGAGTCCCTCTCTCCCTACTGCTTTCCTTTTAATGAATTGTTTTGATTTATATTACTGTTCCTTAATGTGGCTTTCAAATTTATGGCATGGATGTAAGCTCTCAAACTAACAAGTCCTGTTTGTTTCTTTACCTCCTCTGGTAATGGACCCTTCCTATAGAGATTACCTAGGGGGACAGGGACTTCCCAAAAGTGACCAGAACACTTTTATAGCAAGGTCTCTAGCCCTATCTTGTCTCTGTAGTTGGTGATGTTTAATTTCAGAATGGATGGGTTCTTTCTTGTTATTTGGTTGGTGAGAAGAGAATGTCTTGTACTAGTCTAATCAAGAAAGATTATTATATAACATCTGTCAGATTGACTTGTACCATATGGGCCCTGGGCCATCTTCTGTAAGAGAACTTACAGAGACATCTCAAAATGTCTGTGAAAATAGAACATATTTTTA